TCAGGGGTGGCAGAGGAGGGAAGACTGAAAAAAAAAAAAAGAAAAAATGCATTGACCCATGTCACTTTAGTTTTGTGTATTTCACTGTACATAGATAATATTTCAATAAAATGCATTCAAAAAAATGGAAAAAAAACAAAAGTGGTACATCACACACACACACAAAAAAAGTGGATATAGCCTCTATCTTCCCACCCCCATCCCTAGTTTCAATCCTCAAAAAACAGAGGATCAGTTTTCAGGGAAGTTAAGGGACAAAGAGGAAGTGAATGGAGCAATTTGGAACAGCTAAGGATGACAAACTTGTTTATCAGTTTGTTGTCCCATGGTGGCTTATGTGTTGCTATGAGGCTGGAGGCTCTGCCACCAGTGTTGCAAATGCCAGCATGGTTACCTATGGTGGACAGGTTTCAGCAGAGCTTCCAGACTGAGACAGACTCAGTAGAAGGAAGAAGCCATTCACTTCTCAAAGAATAGGTCAATGGAAACCTTATGAATAGCAGTGAAACACTGATATATTACTGGAAAACTTTATGAATAGCCTTGAAACACTGTCCAATATAATGCCAGAAGATGAACCCCTCAGGTCACAAAGCCCTCAAAATACGACTGGGGAAGAGTTGTCTATTCAGAATAGAGCCGACCTTAATGATATGGATAGAGTAAAGCTTTCGGGACGTCCATTTGCTGATGTGGCACGACTCAACATGAGAACAAACAGCTGTAAACATCCATTAATAATAATGGTTGTGTCTTCTGGCTAGCCAGAGGCGTCCTACAGGGAAGTGTGCTGCGTCATGCGTGGGGAGGGGGGGGGTCACCCTCAGGGGGGCCGCCCCACTACTCAAAAGAAAAAAATGACTCGTAGTGGTGGATCAATTGGCTTGTGCAGGGAATGTACAAAGTATTAATCTAGGAAAATTGGAAGCTGTCAAAAATGAAATGGAATCCATAAAGATCAATATCCTAGGCATGAGTGAGTTGAAATGGACTGGTTTTGGCCATTCTGAATCAGACAACCATATGATCTACTATGCCAGGAATGACAAATTGAAGAGGAATTGTGTGGCATTCATCATTACAAAGAATGTATCAAGATCTGTCCTGAAGTACAATGCTGTCAGTGATAAAGACAATATTCATACGTCTGCAAGGAAGAGCAGTTAATACTACTATTATTCATATATACGCACCAAACATGAAAGCCAAGCTGAGGAAATTGAAGATTTTTACCAACTTCTGCAGTCTGAAATTGATCAAACATGCAATCAAGATGTGTTAATTATCACTGGTGACTGGAATGCAAAAGTTGGAAACAAAGGAGAATCACTGGTAATTAGAAAATACAGCCTTGGTGATAGAAATACTCTGGAGACCACATGATAGAATTTTGCAAGACCAACGACTTATTCACTACAAAAACCTTTTTATAACAACACAAACGCCAACTATACACATGGACTTTGCCAGATGGAGTACACAGTAATCAGACTGACGACATCTATGGCAATAGACAATGGAGAAGCTCAGTATCTTCAGCCAAAACAAGCCTAGGAGCTGATTGTGGAACAGATCATCAACTGCTCATATACAAGTTCAAGTTGAAGTTGAAGGCAATTAAAACCAGTCTATCCATGAGAGCCAAAATATGACCTTGATTATATCCCTCCTGAATTTAGAGACAATCTAAAGAATAAATTTGATGCATTGAACACCAGTGACTGAAAACCTGAGGAATTATGGGATGACATCAAGAGCATCATCCACGAAGAAAGCAAGAGGTCATTATAAAGACAGGAAAGAAAGAAAAGACCAAAGTGGATGTCAGAAGAGACTCTGAAACTTGCTCTTGAATGGTGAGTAGTTAAAACAAATGGAAGAAATGACAAGATAAAACAGCTAAATAGAAGATTTCAAAGAGCAGCTCAAGAAGAAAAAGCCAATTATTATAATGAAATGTGCAAAGATCTGGAGTTAGAAAACCAAAAGGGAAGAACACACTCAGCATTTCTCAAGCTGAAAGAACTGAAGAAAAAACTGAAGCCTCTAGTTACAATATTGAAAGATTATATGGGCAAAATATTGAATGATGCAGGAAACATCAAAAGAAGATAGAAGGAATACAGAGTCACTGTACCAAAAAGAATTGGTCTATGTTCATCCATTTCAAGAGGTGACATATGATCAAGAATCAATGGTATTGAAGGAAGACATTAAGGCTGCACAGAAGGTATTGGCAAAAAACAAGGCTCCAGGAACTGGCGAAATACCCACTGAGATGTTTCAACAAACAGATGCCACACTGAAGGCACTCACTCAGCTATGCCAAAAGATCTGGAAGACAGCTACCTGGGCCAACTGACTGAAAGAAAGAGATCCATATTTGTACCCATTCCAAAGAAAGGTGACCCCACAGAATGTGGAAATTTCAAACAATATCATTAATATCACATGAAAGCAAAATCTTACTGAAGGTAATTCAAAAGTAGTTGCAGCTGTATATTGACAGAGAACTTCCAGAAATGCAAGCTGGATTCAGAAGAGGACATGGAATGAGGGCTATCATTGCTGATGTCAGATGGATCTTAGCTGAAAACAAAGAATACCAGAAAGATGGTTACTTTGTTTTACTGACTATGCAAAAACATTTGATTGTGTGAATCATAACAAGTTACGGATAACATAAGAAGAATGGAAATTCCAGAACACTTAATTGTACTCATGAGGAACCTGTACATAGACCAGAAGGCTGTCATTCTAACAGAACAAGGGGATACTGCCTGGTTTAAAATCAGAAGGGAGTGCACCAGGGTTGTAAACTTTCACCGTACTTATTCAATCTGTATGCTGAGCAAATAATCCAAGAAGCTGGACTATATGAAGAACAATGTGGCATCAGGATTGGAGGAAAACTCATTAACAATCTTCAATATGCAGAGGACACAACTTTGCTGCTGAAAGTGAGGATGAGGTGAAGTACTTACTGATGAAGATTGAAAACTACAGTCTGTAGTATGGATTACACCTCAATATAAAGAAAATAAAAATCCTCACAACTGGACCAATAAACAGCATCATGATAAACAGAGAAAATTGAAGTTATCAAGGACCTCACATTACTTGATTCTACAATCAACACCAATGGAAGCAGCAGTCAAGACATCAGATGGCATATTGCATTTGCTGCAAATGACCTCTTTCAAGTGATGAAGAGCAAAGATGTCTCCTTGAAGACTAAAGTGCACCTAACCCAACCCATGATATTTTCAATCATCTCCTATGCATGTGAGAGCTTTGTTGTTTGTTGTTATGTGCTGTTGAGTCAAACCCGACTCATAGCGACCCCTCCTTGGGTTTCCGAGGCAGTATCACTACGGAAGTAGGATTGCCCAACCTTCCTTCCGAGGAGTGGCTGGTGGGTTTGAACCGCCAGCCGTCTGGTTAGCAGGCAAGTGTCTTAGCCACTATGCTACCAGAGCTCCTATGTGAGAGCTAGTCAATGAATAAGGAAGACCAAAGAAGAGTTGATGCTTTTGAGTTGTGCTGTTGCTGAAGAATGCTGAGAGTACCATGAACTGGTAAAAGGACTAACAAATCTATCCAAGAAGTGCAGCTGGAATGCTCCTTGGAAGTGAGAATGGACAAACTTCATCTCACCTACTTTGGTCATACTGTCAGAAGGAACCATTCTCTGGAGAAGGATATCATATTTGGTAAAGTGGAGGGTTAATGAAAAAGGGGAAGGTCCTCAACAAGATGGAGTGACACAGTAGCTGCAATGATGGGCTCTGGTATAGTAAGGATCATGAGGATGGCACAGGACCAAGCAGGGTTTTGTTTTGTTATGCATAAGGTTGTTATGAGTCAGAGACAACTCTATAGCACCTAATAATAACAAGGGAGGGCAGTCAGAAGTTGAACCCAATACCTCTGGTTCCTGAGCTTAATGCCATCAGCTCCCATTTGGCTTCCTTGGTGCGCCACCATGCAACTACCCATATGCAACCCCAGCAGGAGCAATATTGTTACCAGAAAGTTGGTTGGCACAGCAAATGTTGCCCCTGTCAGCACAACAGCAATGGGGACAGTAAGGACATGGTGATGAATATTGGCAAGGAGCTGATATACTGTGCCAGGTGCCAGGACCTGTCATCCACCTTGTCACAGTGCAGAAGGCAAACAGTCTACCCTAAGAACACGCCCTGGCATCAGCATAGTGGGGCTGCAGCAAGGACAGCTGGGACCAGGTAAGGTAAAAAGGAGGAAGGCAGGTCCAGGGTCTAGGGTCAGCTATCAGGGTAGCTGAATGACACTGGACAAGTTACCTAACCTGAGCCTCAATGTTTTTATCGGAAAATAAAGATAATACTAATTCCTATTATTGCAAAGATTGAGCAAGATGACGTACATCAAGCATGAGCCTAGTACCTGCATATGGTAAACACTCCATAACTGCCAGCTATTTTCCTTATTTTAAGCCCTGGGTCTAAGCTCATGAAAGGGTCAAAAAGTCATTCTTTGTGAGGACACCCCATTTAAAAACTAGGCCAGGACCAGCCCTTATTTCTTGGCATGGGTTCCTTTAACAACAGAACACTCTTGCCCCACACCAGTGCTCAGGACTCTCCCATGAACAATATTTCAGCAGCATTGAGCCAAGCAGCACAGCCCAAAATAGCATTTGCAAAGTGAGGCACATGTCACTGCCTCTCCTGTGCTTCAGAAGTGCAAGGAAAGAAAGTTTTCAATCACTTGCTCAGAAAGCATGGCCACCCACCACCTGCCTTCCTTCCAGGGCATTCAGATGTCGCAATCTCTGTTCTGCAGGAAAATGACGGTCCCTGAGCCCTGCAGCATCAGCCACCACTCTGATGGTTCACACTGCTCCCCTCCAGCAGGTCAGAGAGTGGCTGCTCCTTCAAAGCAGCCCTATGGGGACAAAGGACATATACAGGTTGGATTCAGAGTATTTTTAATGGGGACAGGGTCAGGAATGGTACCTGGTTGAAGAGCCTGCCACTCATGGGTTGGATGAAACACCTCCAGAACCTCAGTATCCAGTTCCTCCTTTGCTTTGGTTTCCTTTCTCTCTGTTTCTTTAGTTCTACTCTTCTCTGGGTTGGTCAGCGCAAACTCCTTCTAAGAAAGAAAATAGAAGGCATGACGTACCACAGCTAGACAGCTAGCAAGCAGAAAGAAAATAACCTAGGGTAGCACACTCTTTCCCCTCCATGCCCTTCTTCCCTCCCCCCAGGCATGTTTGGACACTTGCAATTTTTTTCACAAGGTTAACCTCAGAACAAAAATGTATGAGGCAATATAGTTAAATGAACACAATATGCTATTTTTTCTATACAGTATTCTGTATATGCATAAGGAAAAAGCCCAGAATATTCCACACTATCTTGAGTTAACATACTAGGGAGATGGGTTGACAAAAGGAAACAACAGGGGCCTTTTCCTTTTCATTTGTTATGCTACTATACTGTTGGTCATTTAAAACTCATAATATTACTTTTACAATAAAAGAGAAATTTATAAAAGAAACACGTATCTGAAGTGGAGAGTAAAGCTTCAAATGGCCACCACAAATGTGCAAAAATCAGGCCCAACTGATTCCCAAGAAGCCCTGCAAGGACCCTAAAAAACAAAACACCAAACTCACTGCTGTCAAGTCAATTCGACTCATAGCAAGCCCTCCTTGGGTTTCTGAGGCAATAACTTTATGGAAGTAGATTGCCCAATCTTCCTTCCAAGGAGTCACTGGTAGATCTGAACCACCAGCCTTCTGATTAGCAGTCAATACCCAAGGGCTTTGGCAATTTCCCAGAGGGCCTCAGGGGCATAAATGACCTCTTGGGATATTCTAATCCCTGGAAGAAAGGGTGCCAGAGGGAAGGTGAGAGACCAGCTGGGCAGAAGGAAGAAGATGCCCAGGTCAGAAACCACTTCCTAAACCTGTTTCCTTCTGCTCATAGAGAACATGGAGGATTAACGAGATGGTGTCTGTGGAACACTTTGAGCTCAAGAGACAGAGATGCAAAATAAATACAAAGTATTATTCATTTTGCTTCTTCCCAACCTCCCATCCTTCCTGTCCCATTTTTAAAGCTTTTCTTGCATGAAAGTACTAAGGCCTCAGGAAATTAGAACTAGGAGGGTTCCAGAGCTCTTGGAAAACACATTTGGGAGAGCAAGGAGGAATCCATACTAACACACGGGGAGGTTATTTCAGTCCTCCTACTTGCCGTCATCACTTACCCTCCACCTCCCAATTCCTCCCTAGAGCTCTAGCTCCCTAGAGCCAGGAAAGGGAGAGAGCAGGAGAGGCCAGGGACCTGCGGAGCAGCAGGATATCCAGGTAAAAAGGGGCAGGAGGCAAGGTTAGGCCCCAAGCCCCCTAGAGCTAGGAAAGGGAGGGAGCAGGAGAGGCCAGGGACCTCTGGAGCAGCAGGATATCCAGGTAAAGGGGAAGGAGACAAGGCTAGGCCCCAAGTTCCCTAGAGCCAGGAAAGGGACTGAGTAGACGGGAACTACAAAGTGGCAGGCTCCAGGTAGGAATCAAGTAAGGGGAAGGCACAGAGGATTCCAACAGCTAAGGGAGACAAACTTGTCTGTCAGTCGGTCATCCTGTGGGGCTTGTACGCTGCTGTGAGGCTTGAGGCTATGTTTCAGACACCAGCAGAATTGCACATGGTACACAGGTTTCAACACAGCTTACAGACTAAGACTGACTAGGAAGAAGGAGGAGGCCATCCACTTCTCAAAATTGGCCAGGGAAAACCTTATGAATAGCTTGGAAACACTGCCTGACACAGTGCGGGAAGACAAGCCCCTTGCGTTGGAAGGCACTCAAAATACGACTGGGAAAGAGCTGTTTCATCAGAGTAGAACCAACCTTAATAATGTGGATAAAGTAAGTCTTTCAGGACCTCCATGTGCTGACGTGGCATGACTCAAATTGAGGAGAAACAGCTGCAAACATCCATTAATAATCGGAATATGGAAAATACGAAGCATGAATCAAGGAAAATTGGAAGTTGTCAAAAATGAAATGGAACGCATAAAGATTGATATCCTAGGCATTAGTGACCTGAAATGGACTGGATTTGGCCATTTTGAATCAGACAACCATATGATCTACTATACCGGGAATGACAAATTGAACAGGAATGGCATGGCATTCATTATCACAAAGGATGTTTCAAGATCTGCCCTGAAATACAATGCTGTTAGTGACAGGATAAAGAAGGAAGACCCATTAATACTACTATTATTCAAATTTATGCACCAACCCCAAAGCCAAAGATGAGGAAATTAAAGATTTTCATCAGCTTCTGCAGTCTGAAATTAACTGAACAGGCAATCAAGATGTGTTGCTTATCACTGGTGATTGGAATGCAAAAGTTGGAAACAAAGAAGAATCACCAGTAGTTGGAAAATTTGGCCCTGGTGACAGAAATAACGTTGGAGATCACATGATAGAATTTTGCAAGACCAATGACTTATTTACTGCAAATACCTTTTTTCAACTACACAAACATTAGCTACACACATGGACTTCACCAGATGGAGGACACAGGAATCAGAATGACTACATCTGTAGCAAGAGGAGATGGAAAACCTCAATAACTTTAGCCAAAACAAGGCTAGGAGCAGATTGTGGAACAAACCATCAACTGCTCATATGCATGTTCAACTTGAAGTTGAAGACAATTAAAACAAGTCCACAAGAGCCAAAATATGACCTTGAATATATCCCTCCTGAATTTAGAGACCATCTAAAGAATAGATTTGATGCATTGAACACCAATGACCGAAAACCTGAAGATTTGTGGGATGACATCAAGAGCATCATCCATGAAGAAAGCAAGAGGTCATTAAAAATATGAGAAAGAAAAGACTAAAATGGATGTCAGAAGAGACTCTGAAACCTGCCCTTGAGCAAAGAGTAGCAAAGCAAATGGAAGAAATGACAAGATAAAACAGCTGAACAGAAGATTTCAAAGAGCTGGACTTCTGGTAAGATGGAGAAATAGGCAGACAAGCAACACAAACCCTCTTCAACAAAGAAAAGAAAAACTAATTGACAGAGATACAGAAGATAATCCTGGAACCCTGAGCTTTGAAAGGAACTATACAGAAGTGGTTGGCACATACCAACAACAACAACAAATGGAAAAACCTGAATGAAAACAGTGAGTACAGAGATGGTCGGAGCTTTGGACTATCAGCTACTCTGACAAGACCAACAGCCTGAATACTTCCAAGTGGTGTTGGGACCTGGGAATTGACCTAAAGATCAGTCCTGGTCACCAAGGGCTGCAGGGACAACTGCTCTGGTGGCCTATGACTAGGAAGGGAAACAGCAAGGAGGGAGACAACCTGAGCTGTTGACTTTCTGCTGTCGAGAGGGCGCAGCCATTCTGATTATTTACACGTGGCAGCCATTTTGGATATTTAAAGTGACGAACGGTGCAGCCATTTTGAATGTTTACAAGAGTTGGCTGTTTTGGATATTTAAAATGACCGAGGGCACAGCCATTTTGAATGTCTACAAGTGGCAACCATTTTGGATTTTAAAGTGATAGCATTCTCATTCAAATTCCAGAGGCCTAAGAACAGGCTCTATTTGCCAGGGGCATCAAGGACATATGAGAGGCTGACAACAGGAAAGGAGACAGGTGGTGAGTGCATAAGTGCTGTCAACTAGTGAATAGAGGAGCACAGCACAATACCCTGCCTGTATACATAACATACAAACAAAACAAAGAAAACGAGAATTGTGGGCAAGTTACTCCAACATATAATCACCAATTAAATATAAATACAAAAACAACACAATGCCTTGAGACAACAGAGCATCACAGTCCACACAAAGAAACAAGATAAAGCAGGAGAAACAAGGGACCAAGATACAGACCCAAAACACATCCCTGAGGAAGATGCAGCATT